ATTATTCCTCAAAAATACAACTTGCCTAATAATTCTGCACTCCCTGTATATGGATGCAGCATTGAGAGTATTCTGTCCGGCTGCATGACGACCTGGTATGGCATTTCTGGTGTGGGAGCTCAGTCTCTTTGACAGCTCTTGATGCATCCATTGGTATGTGCATGATAGTTTATGCCTTAAGAACCTGTAAGAAAGTGTTTTAGAGGCATAGTATAAAAGTGTTGCATGAACAGATTGTAGTAAAAGGTCCTTATGATTTCTCAGTTTAGCTATAGACAGTAAGTACCAGTGGATTTATTTTTTGCACATTCTTTGACACAAAAACCTGGAAGATGTTCAGATAAGGAACAATTTTAATTAACAGGTGTCTGTACTGTACATATTACACATTTTCCTGACTATTATTATTATCTATCCCTCCATCCATCCAAATACTTTTTTCCATCTCTCCAATGGTGCCTTGTGGGGGCAATTCAATTCAATTTTATTTTATTTTTACAACGCCAAAGGCGCCTGTTATTGTGATTTGGTGGCAGCAGCAGCCTGAGCAGAGAAGCTCAAACCTCATTCTCCCTAGGCCCCTTATCAAACGTATCCCCCGGAGCACTGAGATATATCAGGCCATCAAAGAGATACAATATCTCCATTGTACCTTAGGTTTACCCTGGGGCATCCTCCCAGAAGGACACGTTTGGAATGCCTCACACAGGAGGTTTCCAGGAGCCGACCTAGTTGGAAGGCTGAACTACCGCAACTGTTACCTTGCGATCGTGATGTGCGATACCACTGATTTCCTTTCCGATCCGATACCAAGTAATATCCAGGGTGGTATCGACGATACTGATCCGATACCGATACTTTGTACAAAAACAGATTTTATTTATTGTATCTCAAATTATAGCGTCATAATGATTACAGGACATCAGATTACTTGTTCTTATCACTTAATAATGCAGACTTCATCATATAGAAATAAAAAACTGAAGTTGTGCCTATTTGAACACGTTGACTGCCTGCAGCACTAAAGCACTCCGTGAGAGACTCTCACCCTAGCAGCACCTGTCCCTCTCCTCCTCTTCAGTCTCAACATAAGCTCGTCATATTCTGTGATATGATTTACTCTGAGGTGTTTGACGAGGTTAGTGATGTTGCCACAACCATACATGCCAACCCTCCCAATTTTTCCGGGAGAATACCACCTTTCTCCAGATTTTCCACCCAGACAACAAAGTTGAAAAACCATATCACAGAATTCATAGCGCGGCCAGCCAATTCCAGTTTCCCACAATGACAGCAGCGACTTAGTTTTAATATTACTCTTATTTCTCTTGCTGGGTCGCAAAAAAACTTTTAACATATTTTCAGGTGAGAATGTAGCTGTGTAAACTTCAAATATCTGAGCCGACCGACACATCGTCTTCAAACCCCCGCGG